GCTACTGTTTACAAAATAAAATACTGAAATCCAATAAAAGATAAGTTCTCTATAATTTATTTGATTCACAAATGTGATTTTTGCTCTCACGATAAGATCAAAATGGTCACGGCAGATAAAGGGTTAAAGTGAGTTCTTGTTTTCCCTCTGTTGTCAGAAATATTTTTTTCTTGCAATGCTTGGTGGAGACCAAAAAGACACAGCCATGTTGTTTTAAGGTTAAAAATACTATGCCCACCTGTTGCATTATATGCATACCATTATGAAAATGTTTTCTATAATAAAAATATTAAGTAAAATAAAATGTTTTGCTTTACTTTTATAATTTGAAAAATAACAATATAACAAAAATCATCTCACCAGGACTGTCTAGATGCCTGTTTAGAACTACATCCATTCCTGTTCTAATTTCCTTGGACGGAACCAAAAGTCGGCTGGTTTCAGTGGGATTTTCACCTCCACAAAGTGAAATTTCATTATTGGAAGTCTCTGTAATCAGCATCAACTTCTTCACAACATCCTTCCCTAGAATGTTGTCAAATACAGCTTGGAGAAATGTATCACCACAAATGGACAGTTTCAGCTTGTCTCTGTGCCACACAATCAAACGACTCTCTTCCAGAGCAGTGACAGTAACCTTAGGAATAATTAGCTAATTATGTACATGCTTGTGCTAAATTTACAAAATTAGATTTTTCTAATATGCCATACAAGTTTTTATTCACTGCAAACAGTTCCAAGAATAAAATAATTTTATATCCTTTTGTTTAATAAATACACAATAAATGCAAAAATAAATTTTAGAATCAAACTGAATTCAAATAAAGATTACTTTTTGATGGATGAAAATCTGATAAACAATTTTACTAGTTCTCTTCTTTCAAAGATTAATCTTGTTATATGCCCAGTCCTAAATGATAACCCAACTTTACAAGGTACCACTCTCGCTCAATAGACTACATAAAATGCCCACTCATTCTTATCAAGATAGTTGGAAAAGGTGGTGGCAACCCATAGGAAAGTATAAACTTTTATTTAACTTATGTAATGCTGACTGAAGTAAAAGGATATAATAAACAATATGAACATGAGAAAAATATTTGTTTAATCAACATTTCATTTTACAGCATATAGAGTACTCTTTACAACTGACAACAGAGATTAAACTGATTTAATAAACATCAGAATATTCATAGAATAGTTCAATATGGTCACATATATGAGTGTAATATATAGAGCAATATTATATTCTTGATGAGATCCTGGAATAAAAATGCCTGTGCTAATTAGTAGCTGATTAAAATTAATTAATTTTTTTTCAAAATTAAGGTTTGGACCAATACTTCCTGTATATATGATGAAGAGAATTATCCAAGCATATAGTTACCACTTTCCCTGCCTTAAAATTTCACAGAACAATTAGCTAGTGGTTCAGCGCTACTGCCAAAAAGTCTTTGCATGAGCTTCAGTCTGTTGAAAGAACTCTCACCCTACACCCTCCTTTTCTCCAGTATATGAAAAAAATGATATGTTGTGCCTTCTTTGAGCTGATATATGTAATGTACTTCAGAGAATCCATTCTAAAATTATTTGTTCCTGTGACAAACCTATCCTCCTTCCTAAACTTTAAACCTTCTACATGGAACACTTTAGATCAGATCTTCACTTTCACTGTACTCCACCCATTTAAATTCATTCTTCCACTTAGGATAGAACATTATTTTCTTTTTGTAATTTTTTTGGTTTCATCCCTTTTGGTATCTTTTTCTCTCCTCCTCCCTTCTCTTCCTCATCAATAGAAGATAAAGACATACTTACTGTCACTTTGTGTCATCAGGTAAGCAGTCATAAAATGATCGAGAATGTTGAAATAATTTTTATGTTTATTTAACTATATACAATGGAATACTTTTTTCATAATCTTCAAAAGAACTTAGAACAAACTTAAAATTAGGCCTAAACACGAAGATAAAAAACTAATAATGTATAAAAAATGCAGGAAATAACCAATTCTAACTGGTAAGTCTGCCAAAGGGAGAGTGATGTGATTGGACAGAGGCAGAAGTGATGGGACCCTACTGATGGAAGGTATTAATGATATGTTATATGCTGCCACAGTTAACCTGTAGGGGTGGGAGTTTTTTCTAGGCTTGTGGTAGCATAGGAAATTAATAGAGACTGCATGAGGAATAGATCATTGGTGATGCAGAGAGGTAATGTAACATCTCTGAAAATAATTGTGAAGTCGAAAATGATTTGCTTAATTAACATTCAAGAGCAATGTTAACTATGCTCATCAACTATAGTCTCATTCCACTAAACCCTCTTTATTCTATCTCTGGTTGAAGGAGACTACATAAACAATACAACAATACAGGTGCATGAATCAGATTGTTAACAAGAAATGCTATGGGAAACATTCAGTTAATAATATTTAGAGACTTTTCGTGACATTTTAAAAGAAATTGTAATTAACCCTATCATTATGGGCTGGGTGGATTCCACCCAGCTTGTAAACACAAAAGTATCCATGAGAGTAATTATACTATGGTTTCTGATAATGTACGCATACCCTTACAAAATTTTGCAGCTTATTGGTAAACATTACAAAATATCGGGTTTTTAAATTAAGTATTAAGATATTTTAATTAAAAATTTTCTCATAAATTATGTGACCCTGGACACTTTATACTTTATCTGTTATTTTCTATAACTCTATACAGGGTCAGTTGATTTGACTGATCTCCTAACCACCATAAAAAAAAATTGGGAACTAATTCAAAGTTACCCTTTCTTCTTTATGGAACATCTGCAAATTGTGACTGGAAACCACAACTGTTTATCCTAAATAGCTTAACTTTTCACTAATTACTCAATTTTTTACAATGATGTCTAGTACTTACGATGTTAGAAGATTTTTTGCACTCATCACTCATATATTGTATTTGCTAACCCTTGTTGAATCTTGCGTATGGAGTGGGGAGGACAAATTAATTTTTTCTGATTTATATATGCATTTGGAAATACCCAAAAAGTTATGAATTTCTAGGTTGATATCATCACAAAAAAAATAAAATAAAAATAATATATCTGGCTTTTTAACTAAGTTACATGTGGCTTTAAAAAAGTTCATTTCTGTTCAGACTGTTGCCTTGATCATCACACTTTAAAATCTTCAATGGCATAATGGATTTCCCTGTCAATAATTTAAAAAAACTGACAGAAATACGTGATTCAAAATGAGCACTTTTAATTGGTTATAAACATGTATGTCAAGTAAGTACATGTAGCTTCTAAATCTCAAGTCTAAGTATAGAAGCTTTCGTCAGGGGATGGCAAAATTTATTTCTTGTGGCTAAGAACTGATCCCAAGTAATTTGAAATAAATGTGTAAACAGCATAAAAAGTGTAGCTCGTGTCAAGCCACACATGTGTATCATAAGTATATTCAAATTACAGAAGTTAACACTTTCCTTACCTAGATTTCCAACAGATATACCTCCATACACAGGTTAGTTGTTGATTGTTTGGCATTTTATGGTGCAAAATGCGTAGGCTACCTGCACCAAACAACTAGTAAAAATGAGTTAAAGTCAAATTGTTATAAAATGTAACAATAAATCGATTTAAAAGTAAACAATGTTCAAAATTCAGATAAAAGTATTAGATAGAAATAAAAAGGCCACTGGCTTGTAAAAATTTAAAAATACATTCAAGTTAAGTAGTGTTACCATCGCCAATGACACTATCCAATGTTCGGAGTAAAAATTGAAGAAAATATATGTCGAAAAATGAGCTGCCACTCATGGTCATAACAATGGCACAACAGTAAAATGTGGACTATTGTGACGTGAGTGTCACAAAGGCTACACATTGGGGTGCGAGTACCAGGTAAAAGAGATCAATGAGTCAAATGCCTAGCCTAGCCAGGACAACTTCCTCTTTCTGATCCTTATGGAAACAAGACGGCCAGAGAGCAACAGAGGATTTGACCTGGAAAAGCTTGTTAAGACATTGCTCACCCCAAATCGACTGCTAACTGGCGCGAAGCCGTGCCTTGAATACAGGACCATAGTCCATATATGGGACGGGCACAGCCATGACGGCACCAGAGCAGAAAGACTTAGCTGCAGTGTCAGCGAGCTCGTTCCCGCAAATAGCGACGTGGCTAGGTATCCAGAAAAACTGGATGGAAATATAATACAGAGAAAAATGGGCAAATCATTACTGAATATCAATGAGAACAGAGTGAGAACTAATGTTAAGTGATTCCAGGGCCAGTAGAGAGCTAAGAGAGTCTGTGTAAATAGTACAGTTGCTGAACTGCATAGCTTCTACATGATCCAGGGCAAAAGAAATGGCATACAATTTAGCAGTAAACACAGAAACTGTAGAGGGAATCCTGTGAGTAACTACCTAGCCCCAGAAAATCATGGCAGAGCCTACATAGTCACCTGATTTTGAACCATTCATGTAAATGGGAATAGAAGGATGGCTTGAAAGACATTCAGTAAAGAGAACACGGCACCTCCAATCGGGAGTATTCGCCTTCCTCAGATGACTCAAGCAAAGGTCATACCTGGGGATGGTAATAAGCCATGGTGGAATGAGCTGATCATTGAGGACAGTAACGTCACCCAATGCCAGACTGAATTCAGCTAATTTTGCCTGGATACAAAGGCCAAAAGAAAGAATGCAGACCATGTAATCTGAAAGAGCATGTCACACCAAGGAAGAAAGACACAACTTCAGGTGGAATGCTGTGGTAAGGACCGAAGCTTGGTAGCATAATGTAGAGAAAGTTGCAAATGGTGGAGGTGAAGAGGAGATTGATGAGACTCAGTGTACAGACTCTGGCAGAACCATAGACCAGAGGCCCATAGTCCAGTTTGGATAGAATGAGGACATGATAGATCTTGAGCATAGAACACAGATCCATTACTAAGAAGGTGGAAGAAATGACACAGAGGATGTTCGGTGCCCTTGTACACCTGACACGCAACTGCTTTATGTGAGGAATGAAAGTAAGCTTATGGTCAAAGATAAGCCCCAAAAACTTTGCCTCAGGGACCATGGAAAGAATAACATCATCAAGACAAAGCTCGGAATCAGAGTGTAGACACCCTTTCTGGCAAAAATACATGTAAACAGTTTTGGAAAAAGAAAATGTAATATATATCCTTTAGAATCCGTTCGTCTGTCTTGTATGCAGTGGAGAACGAATTCTAAAGGGTATCGTTTACAAAATAACTAC